AAAAAAAAAAAAAAAAAAAAAAAAAAAAAAAAAAAAAAAAAAAAAAAAAAAAAAAAAAGTTAAAAATAAAAGTGTTAGTAAACTTTTATATAACACATGAACGATATTTATATTATGTAATTTATGTTAGAATAATTGTGAGAGAATGGTGGACTACTGCTTTTTTCAAAAAGTTGAGAATAAAAGTAGAGTACTGAGCTAGATTGTTAAAATCTGGATTTTTAAAATGAATTGTATTTTAAACCTCATGACATTTTTTATTGAATTATTATTTTTTTATTATACTTTAAGTTCTGGGGTACATGTGCAGATTGTGCAGGTTTGTTACATAGATATACACATATCACAGTGGTTTGCTGCATCCATCCCCCTGTCATTTACATTAGATATTTCTCCTAATGTTATCCCTCCCCAGTCCCCCCAACCTGCTGCTATCTCTCCCCTAGCTCCCCGTTCCCCCAACCGGCCCCGGTGTGTGATGTTCCCCTCATGGTGTTCATGTGTTCTCATTGTTCAGTACCCACTTATGAGTGAGAACATGTGGTGTTTGGTTTTCTGTTCTTGTGTCAGTTTGCAGAGAATGATGGTTTCCAGCTTCATCCATGTCCCTGCAAAGGACATGAACTCATCCTTTTTTATGGCTGCATAGTATTCCATGGTGTATATGTGCCACATTTTCTTTATCCAGCCTATCATTGATGGGCATTTGGGTTGGTTCCAAGTCTTTGCTATTGTAAACAGTGCCGCAGTGAACATACATGTGCATGTGTCTTTATAACAGAACAATTTATAATTCTTTGGGTATATACCCAGTAATGGGATTGCTGGGTCAAATGATATTTCTATAGCTAGATCCTTGAGGAATCACCACACTGTCTTCCACAATGGTTGAACTAATTTACACTCCCACCAACAGTGTAAAAGTGTTCCTATTTCTTCACATCCTCTCCGGCATCTGTTGTCTCTTGATTTTTTTCTTGAGACAGAGTTTCACTCTTGTTGCCGAGGCTGGAGTACAATGGTGTGATCTTGGCTCAGTGCAACCTCTGACTCCCAGGTTCAAGTGATTCTGCTGCCTCAGCCTCCCAAGAAGCTGGAATTACAGGCATGTACCACCAAGCCTGACTAACTTTGTATTTTTCACTAGAGACAGGGTTTCTCCCTGTTAGTCAGGCTGATCTTGAACTCCCTACTTAGGTGATCCACCCTCCTCAGTCTCCTAAAGTGCTGGGATTATAGTTGTGAGCCACTGCGTCCGGCCTTGTCTCCTGATGTTTTAATGATTGCCATTCTAACTGGTGTGAGATGGTGTCTCAATGTGGTTTTGATTTGCATTTCTCTAATGACCAGTGATGAAGAGCTTTTTTCATGTTTGTTGGGTGCATAAATGTCTTCTTTTGAGAAGTGTCTGTTTATATCCTTTGCCCACTTTTTGATGGGTTTGTTTTTTTCTTGTAAATTTGCTTAAATTCTTTGTAGATTCTGGTTATTTGCCCTTTGTCAGATGGATAGATTGCAAATTTTTTTTTTCCCCATTCTGTTGGTTGCTGGTTCACTCTAATGTATAAGACCTAATTTTTTTTAGAGCAGTTTTAAGTTCACAACAAAGAGGAAGGTACAGAGATTTCCCATCTGTGTACTGTTGTCACACACGCAGTAGCCTCCTATCTGTCAACATTCCCCACCAGAATGGAATATTTGTTACAGATGATGACTCTCCATTGATACAACATAACCGGAAGTCCATAGCTTATATTAGGGTTCACTGTTGGTGTTGTATATTCTCTTGGTTTTGACACAGGTATGGTGACTTATGTCTACTCTATAGTTTTATATCATATATAGTTTTATATCATATAAAATAGTTTCACTGCCCTGAGAACCCTCTATGTTCCTTCTATTCATCCCTCCTTTTCCTTTAACCCCTGGACCCCGCCGGTCTTTTTACTGTCATCATAGTTTTCCAGAATCCCCTTTACCAGAATGTCATATTGATGGAATCATACATTATGTAACCATTTCAGATTGACTTCTTTCACTTGGTATTATGCATTTAAGGTTTCTTCATATCTTTACAAGGCTTAATAGCTAATTTATTTTAGTGTTGAATAATATTCCATTATTTGGATGTACCACAGTTTTTTCATTCGCCTACTGAAGGACATCTTGATTGCTTCCAAGTTTTGTTACTTATGAATTAAACTTTGATCAAACATCCATGTGCAGATTTTTGTGTGGACATAAATTTTCCACTCTTTTGGATCAATACCAAGGAGCTCAATTGCTAAATCATATATATGGTAAAAGTATGTTTCATTTTGTTAAGAAACTACCAAACTTTCTTCCAAACTGGCTGTACCATTTTGTGTTCCCATGTGCAATAAATGATCATTCTTGTTCCACCTCCTTGCCAGCATTTGGTGTGATCAGTTTTCTGGAATTTGGCCATTATAATACGTGTGCATTGGTCATCTTTTTGTTTTAATTTGCATTTCCCTCATGACATATGATGTGGAACATCTTTTCATGTGCTTCTTTTTTTTTTTTTTGTCTTTTTTGGTGAGGTGTCTGTTAAAGTCGTTGGTCCATTTTTTAATTGGGTTGTTTTCTTATTTTTGAGTTTTGGGAATTTTTTGTATATTTTAGATAACAGCCCTTTATATGTCTTTTGCAAAAATTTCTCCTAGCCTGTGACTGTGTTTTCATTCTCTTGGCAGTGTCTTTTGTAGAGCAGAAATGTTTAATTTTAATGCAATCCAGTGTATTGATTTTTTTCTTTTATAAATCATATCTTCAGTGTCACATCTAAAAAGTCATCACCAAATCTAAGGTCATCTAGATTTTCTCTTATCTTCTAGGAGTTTTATAGTTTTGTGTTTTACATTAAGGCTTGTGATACATTTTGAGTTAATTTTTGTGAAGGGTATAAAGTCTTCCTCTAGATTCATCTTTTGCATGTGGATGTCTATTGTTCTAACATCATTTATTGAAAAGGCTATTTTTTTTTTTTTTTTGAGACGGAGTTTCACTCTTGTTACCCAGGCTGGAGTGCAATGGCGTGATCTCGGCTCACCACAACCTCTGCTTTCTGGGTTTAGGCAATTCTCCTGCCTCAGCCTC